AGTGTATCAGTCTGTAGTGGAAGGAAGGCGGGGTAGGGGTCGGCCTAGGAAAGGTTGGAGAGAGGGGGTAAAGGAGGTTTTGTGTGCGAGGGGCTTGGACTTCCAGCAGGCATGCGTGAGCGTGTTTGATAGGAGTGAATGGAGACAAATGGTTTTTAATACTTGACGTGCTGTTGGAGTGTGAGCAAAGTAACGTTTATGAAGGGGTTCAGGGAAACCAGCAGGCCGGACTTGAGTCCTGGAGATGGGAAGTACAGTGCCTGCACTCTGAAGGAGGGGTGTTAATGTTGCAGTTTAAAAACTGTAGTGTAAAGCACCCTTCTGGCAAGACAGTGATGGAGTGAATGATGGTGAAAGTTTTTCTTTTTCAGGCCACCCTGCCTTGGTGGGAATCGGCCAGTGTGATAATAAAAAAAAAAAATTGTGAGAAACATTTAAGATATACAATTTATAAGGTTCAGTTATTCAGTATTTATTTGGTTTTGGGTAAGTGATCTTTGAGAAGAGACTTGAATTTATAAATAGGTAGTGTTTCTTTTATATTTACAGGTAATGAATTCCAGATTTTAGGGCCTTTTATGTGCATTGAGTTTTTGTATAGCATGAGATGGACACGAGGAACATCAAAGAGTGATCTGTGCCTTGTGTTATGGTCATGTGTTCTGTTGAGGTTGGCAAGGAGATGTTTGAGGGGGGGGGGTTAATATCAGAGTTAAGTGTTCTATGTATGTAATAGGTGCAGTAATAAGTATGGATGTTTTGTATGGTGAGTAGGTTTAGTATTTTGAATATTGGTTGAGTGTGCTGTCTGTAGTGGGAATTTGTTATCATTCTGACTGCAGCCTTTTGTTGGGTAATTAGTGGTCTGAGATGGTTAATTGTTGTTGAGCCCCATGCACAAATTCCATAGGTGAGATAGGGGTAAATAAGAGAGTGATATAGGGCCAGGAGGGCTGACTGTGGAACATAGTACCGTATCTTCGATAGTATGCCTATGGTCTTGGAAATTTTCTTAGAAATTTGTTGTATGTGTGTATGTTGTATATGTGTATGTTGTATATGTCCATCCCTTATGATCAAGTGCTTACCACAGTTTTTTCTCCATAGCAGCAGTCATTACAGTGGTACCCCAAGTTTCGGCCACCTCCCAACTCGAAAGAATTATTTAAAGTGCTTTTGTAAGTGTATTTTTGGGGGTCTGAAATGGACTAATCCAATTTATATTATTCCTTATGGGAATAAATTTGTTCGGTAACGGCACTCGAACAGCCTTCTGGAACACATCATGGCCGAAACTTGGGGTTCCACTGTAATTGTTTATTTACCACCTTTCTGGCAGTTCTGCCAACTTCTAGGAGCCTTCATTGAACAGTTGAGGAATCAACATTTATGCCACCTGAAGCCAAATCTCTCTGTAGATTTTTGATAGTTTTCTTGGGATCCTTTATACTATTTTTTATGATAACCTTGTCATTATGAGGTGTTGCCTTGCATTTTCTTCCACATTATCTTCAATGCAGCGCTCCACAGTCACTATTATCATCGGCTCTCTTCAGAATTAGTTCAACAGTTGACTTTGCTAGGCTCAAATTTTCAGCGATCTGTCTGATACTCGAATCAGCATGTTTTCTAAGAGCTATAATACTTGCATGCTTCCTGGGTGTAACATCCATCATGAATTTCAGCAGTAAGCATGAAATGATGGGGTGAATTTGTCAAAACCACGTTCACTCACAGAGCATGCTTGCAGTAATAGCCTTACAGAACAACAGCTGTTGTAGCACTGTCAAGAATCACAGGGTAACACCACAGCTGGATAGGTGCCAGATGTCAGTAGCAAACTCTTCTGAAAAGAAGAGAAGCCAAACTACATTATTTAAGTCAGAGATGAGATAATCACAAACTTTACTCCTGTCCTAATTAATTTGCACACTACTGTACTGCATTTTTGTTCATTTTTGGTTCTCGATTTCTTTTCGTATCAAATCGTTGAGGTGGGTACCAAGAGCTTTATCTCAGCTTCAGCAAATACATTCTCTGTTGTACTCTACCATCTTATTCTTCCATGCAGTATTTTATGTTTAATTTACTTCCTATAATTTAGTTTGATTTAATTTGTTGATATATCTTATTATTTAATTAATCCTGTATTATTTTTCCTTAAAGCACAGTGTACGTTTTTATTGTATTTTATGTTGTATAGTTTGACTTAAAAAATAAAATAAATCTTAAATGCGTGATATAATACATTGTAACTAGTAATACTATCATTCAGATGTGTAATATTTTTATGTAGTTGAATGTAGACCTCTTGAAGACATTGTACATGTTGAATTTCACCAAGTTGTACCATACCTGGAGTTTACCTGGAGAGAGTTCCGGAGGTCAACGCCCCCGCGGCCCGGTCTGTGACCAGGCCTTCTGGTGGATCAGAGCCTGATCAACCAGGCTGTTACTGCTATGACACACTTATGCAGTAAATTGTTAATCTCTACAATAGCTGTTCTTTATTGGCATGCCTCTGGCAAGACACTGATGGAGTGAGTGATGATGAAAGTGTTTCTTCTTCTTTTTCAGGTCATCCTGCCTTGGTGGGATATGACCGATTTTTAAAAAAAATCACTTCAAACATAAAGCTGTTTTTCTGTTTTAAAAAATAAGTTAATCCTGGGAATACTTTCTAATATCGGAGTTGGTAATACTTTATCTTGTATCTAACTTTCTTTCATAATGTATATTATCCTAATTTTTCATTTTCAATATTAAGACAAGGAAAATGCATGTTAAACTAATTTAATAGATTTAGTTGTGCGTATTGTACCTGTCCTCTAAACTGCATTTTAAGGGGAAAACTAATATTTTGTGGAATAAAATATTTTCACATTTTACAATATTCTCACTTTTTTTTTTTTTTCAAGCACAAGTAATAAATTCAAAATTTCTACTAAAATTAATTGGCTGGTTGAGTTTTCTTTCAGAGGCTCCGAACTTGTTAAGTATTTTTCCTTACCATTAACCCTAGTTTTATACTTTTGAAAAGGAGAAACGGAGAATCATTGTGTTCACCTGCATTAAAGGACATTATTATTATTATTTTTTAAGTCATTAAACATTTGTATTTTTGTGGGACAGATAACATATTTGATTGAATGGACATGTATAATTTTACCTTCAAGTTATTTGATAGTAAAAAGTGTGTGAAATATTGAACATAATACACAAATGCCCCGCACATAGGAGAGAGTAACTTACGATGATGTTTCGGTCTGACTTGAATCATTAATAGTCCATGGTGGACCCAAACATCATGAGTTTCTTTCACCTATTTGTGGGATATTTGTGTGTTGTTCCAGTCGCAGTATTGTGCCTTTTGTTATTTGTGTTCTTAATAGCAGTGTGAATTATGAGTGTAGGTGGTCCTTGTTTTATTTGGTTAATGTGTTTAGTGTCCTTGTTGCACATGCAATAATAAATCATATAAAGAGAACATAATGTAATGTGTCACATAAGAGCTTCCAAACCTGGGCTCCACTGCTTTCCACACTAATTTTTATTACTATTTTTTATGATAATTTCAAATGGTGCAAATGAATGTACATGAAGATTATGAAACAAGGTAAGAGGAGGACTATATTTCCGCTTCACACTGAGATCATCTTCAGCAGATGTCTAAAGAACCTAAGTAGTAGGCAAAAATATAGAGTACTCCTCTTACCATCTATTTCATTGTCTCCATCTGGACTGGCTTATATCATTGTCCACTGTTTAGTGCAATTTTGTATGTGCAATTTTAAATGTTTAAATTAGTTATGTACTATACAGGTATTCAGCAGCAGAGAGACAAGCACTGGTGGACAAGGTAGTAAAGGGTGGCAGTAGAAATTATATTAGTGTGATTAACTAGTGTAAAAGATAGTTCATGTTTGTTAGGTCAGACTGCACATTACTGGTAGGAGACTGGGAATCATCCAAAGAGAGCTCAGGCAGGGAACAGTTACAGTATCACCAGTGAAGGACTGGAGGCAGAAGAGTTAATTGGAGTGGGCTGAGGTGGGCAAGGGAGATTTCATGAACTATAACATAGATGAACAAAGTAATGTTAGTGGATATGAACATTGTTACGGCTGAGCAACATAGTAACTGCTAGGTTAGACTCCCTGCAGTGAGGTTCTAACTTAAAGTTTTTGAATTAGTCTTACAAAACTTGCCATGTTATACATGTCCTTAAGTTTACAGTCCAGTGTACAAACATTGTGTTCTTATTTATTGTTTTTAAAGCACATATATGGGTTTATGGCAAGATAAACAAACAGCAACTTACACTTAAATATCCTCCCATGATGTTGTTAAACAATCAATCTAAATCCACCTGCCTTCAAGGGAAGGTAAGGGGGTGTCTCCAGCCAAGTGAAAGGCTCTTGATCCAAGAAATTGCAGTTGCCTTTCCCTTGGATCAAATATGCTTTTCTCTCATTCCCCAGGAGGTGTATGAGCCCTCTGGAATTAGCACTTCCACACTGTACATAATAATTTAGAGCCACCCACATGTTCTTCCTGGGAGACGTGCATCTTACACAGCAGCACCAACTTACCAGTAGCCTTTATATGAGACTGCTTACTTACAACTTAAGATGTAGACTGCCCTAGAATTTTCTGATTGAATATGCATGAAAAACAATTATATTTGTTTGTTATGAACAAATACACTTTGTTGTACAGTGCTTCTCCTATCATGCATCATTAGTTACAACACCCATATATATGCTTTTTCATGAGTTAAAGTTATGGTATAAATTTTTGTGACATTTAGATGTATATATTTCTATGTACATATGTATATTACGTAGTTGTCAGGTAAGGTTCACTTATATTTTGTAGTTTTTAGATATTTAATTAATATGATATGTTTGAGTTGTATTACATTTTGATCTGTAGATTCCTAAGTATATATCACTTACTAGACAGCTCTGTTATTCTGAACTTTGTGAAACACTTTGTAGGTAAGAGAGTGGTGCGTGCCGGTGATGGTCGAGGAGACAGCCAGAGAGAGCGAGCTCCCTCACCCCTCACACTAGTTCAGGTAATCTTATCTTTTCACTAAATTTCAGTCATATTATTTAAGTTTGGGTTTTTTTCCTTATCAAGAGCACTTGTAATGTAACCACCAGGCATGTTGAGGGGAAAATTATTAATATTAATAATAATAATAATAATAACAGTAATAATAATGTTGATTTTTTGACAAGATGCAACATGTAATACTTTACATAAAATATATGTTGCAAAAATTGCAGATGAGCGATACCGTGTGTGTGTGTGTTTATGTATGTACATGCCTCCAAGGAGCACTAATCAGACTTCAGGGAGACCTGGTCAGACACTTATAAGTTCTAATCTTCCTTCCATAACTCAAGTTGGATTTTTACATTAGTTCCACGTAGATTTAACTTAATTATCCTATTTATGTGTGTATTAAACCACAAATAAAACCATGCATGTCATAAGTGACTAAAATGCCGGGAGCAATGGGCTGGTAACTCCTTCTCCTGTATAAATTACTAAATGCCGAGAGCAAGGGGTTAGTAACCCCTTCTCCTGTATAAATTACTAAATGCCGGGAGCAAGGGGCTAGTAACCCCTTCTCCTGTATAAATTACTAAATGCCGGGAGCAAGGGGCTGGTAACCCCTTCTCCTGTATAAATTACTAAATGCCAGGAGCAAGGGGCTAGTAACCCCTTCTCCTGTATAAATTACTAAATACTAGGAGCAAGGGGCTAGTAACCCCTTCTCCTGTATAAATTACTAAATGCCAGGAGCAAGGTGCTAGTAACACCTTCTCCTGTATAAATTACTAAATGCTAGGAGCAAGGTGCTAGTAACACCTTCTCTTGTATAAATTACTAAATGCTAGGAGCAAGGTGCTAGTAACACCTTCTCCTGTATAAATTACTAAATGCCAGGAGCAAGGTGCTAGTAACACCTTCTCCTGTATAAATTACTAAATGCTAGGAGCAAGGGGCTAGTAACCCCTTCTCCTGTATAAATTACTAAATGCCAGGAGCAAGGGGCTGGTAACCCCTTCTCCTGTATAAATTGCTAAATGCCGGGAGCAAGGGGCTAGTAACCTCTTCTCCTGTATAAATTACTAAATGCCAAGAGCAAGGGGCTGGTAACCCCTTCTCCTTTATAAATTAAAAAGAGAAGCTTTTGTTTTTCTTTTTGAGCCACCATGAGGCCTGGTCTCAAACCCGGCTGCAGGGGCATTGACCCCCGAAACCCTCTCCATGTATCTCTAGGTATTCCCCTGCCTCGGTGGGATACGACCAGTTTGTTGAAAGAAGAAAAGAAAAACATTCGGTTTTCTTTTTAGGTCACCCTGCCTAAAGCGAAACAAATTCATGAATGCATTGGAAAACACTCCCTTGCCTCTGTTTATATGTAATACATCTTCGAGAGTATACAAATCTGTAGTGGAGGGAAGGCAGGGTAGGGGTCAGCCTAGGAAAGGTTGGAGGGAGGGGGTAAAGGAGGCTTTGTGTGCGAGGGGCTTGGACTTCCAGCAAGTGTGCATAAGTGTATTAGACAGGAGTGAATGGAGACAAATGATTTTTAGGACTTGACATGCTGTTGGAGTGTAAGCTAGGTAACATTTATGAAGGGATTCAGGGAAACTGGCAGGTTGGACTTGAGTCCTGGAGTTGGGAAGTACAGTGTCTGCATTCTGAAGGAGAGGTGTTAATGTTGCAGTTTTGTAACTGTAGTGTAGGCATGCCTCTGGTAAGACAGTGATGGAGTGAATGATGATGAAAGTTTTTCTTTTTCGGACCACCCTGCTTTGGTGAGAAACGGCCAGTGTGTTAATAATAAAAAATAATACATGTAATAACATCTCGAGATAATGGCAGAGAAAAAGGTCAACCACGGAACAGGTGGTGTTTGAACCCACACTGAGTGAGTCATGAAACTGCAGGCCAGTACACACTGACCTCCAGTTTTGCCACTTGCTTGCCATGGGTTCAAACCTAACCCATTCCTTGGTTTGTAATTGTGTTATTACAGTTTTGTGAATCATAACAGCAGAGTTTCCACATTGACCACACTTTCCAGCCTCAGGATTAAGCAATATTGCAGTTCTCTTAGCAGTTAATTAATGTGAAATATGAAACATAGTTGTACAGGATACTGTAAACTAATATTATTGTTCAGTTTATTATGGTGGAGGGAGGGGGTGAGCACAGCAAGCTAAGTCTGGTTAAAGAGAGGGTGGGAGGGGGAAGTCGTCACCCACCTGTCACCCAGGTCTTATTCCCCTACTGCCAACATATACCCACCCTCCCTGAAATGTACTACACACATATATCAGCTCAGACAAACAAAACAGCATTAATTATGAATCTACAGTTCTTTATTAATCTCTACCTAACAAACCTGTGTTGGGTGAGAGTTGGGCCTGTCTGTCCAGTAGGCCTACTGCAGTGCTCTTCTCTTTTTGTTTGTCAAGTACAGTGGAACCTTTGGTCACGAACGCTTCCGAACACGAACAGATCAGTTCACGACCAAAAAATTTGCCAAATTTTTGCAGCTGGTCACAAACACATAATCGGGTGCTGAACAAACACAGCCATGCCAGTTTTCACATTCCATGCCATTTTTTGCCACTTCCTGTAATTACAACTGTGATAATTCAAATTAGTAATGTTTTATCAGCAGGTACTGTAGTGCTAAAACAGCTTCTCGCAGTGCCAGTACCTGGCAAGGGCTTGCCATATGTGATTTTTGGTAAATATTTTTTTTCTCAGTTGTTTGTTGGGCTATCTTATTGAAACTTGGGAAATGTATGATGGAAAGATGCTTCTTAACCCTTTCAGGGTCCGTGCCGTAGATCTACGGCTTTACTTTCAGGGTCCAAACCGTAGATCTACGCCATGAGCTCAGCTCACTCTGATAAGCTGCGAGTGGTAAATTTGGGACTAGATATGAGAGAATACATCTGTGTGGTATGTGTACACCACATAAAACAAATCCTGCAGCACACAGTGTATAATGAGAGAAAAAAAACTGAGACCGTGATTTTCAATTAAAACAGTGACTTTGCAGTGTTTTTTCGTATGTTTTTTATAGTTGTATTTGCGATTTCTTGGTCTCATTTGACAGAATGGAAGACATATTACAAAAGTAGAGATGATTTTGATTGGTTTTAGCACTGGAAATGGCTTGAAACTGAGCTCAAAGTAGCGGAAATGTTAAATTTTTGTCAATGTTCAAGAGTAAACAAACGACCTCACATGTCTAATACAAGCCAGTTGGTGGGTCTAATATACATTCACAAATGTGGTGATGATATTTATACAATATTACAATACAGTAAATCTTCTATTTTATGGTATGAATAAAAATTCATTGTGAATAAAAAATCAAAATGGAATTCATTTGTAAAGCCTGAAAACATAACTAATGAACAGAGGAAATGTTAGTTTAGTGCCAGGAATGTCTGCATTGTTTATTCTGGACCCAATTTTGAAACTGGAATATTTTGAACTTTGCACTAAATTGGCCAAATTACCAATTTCCGATCACTTTTTGTAGTTCAAACAGTTGACTGGGTGATTTCTTATGCTCAATCCATAAAATAGAAGTAATACTAGTGAAATAGCTAAGAATTTGGTCGACTGGAATAATGTAATTGGCCTAAAATGGGAGTCAAAGTTGGCAAAATCGCCAATTCGTAAATATCGCTGACACATCAAAATTCGCGAGAGCATAATTTCATCAATTTTCCATCAAATTTCATAGTTTTTGTTTTATTACCTTCAGAAAAAGATTCTCTACCATTTCATAAGAAAAAATAACAAATTTTTTTTTTTTTTAAATTCTTGGACCCTGGTGTGCACTTTGAAATTTGGCCTCTGGACCCTGAAAGGGTTAAAGAAAAGATTTTAAGAAAGGGTTTAAAGAAAAGATTTTAAGACAGGGATATAAGAAAGGGACATAAGAAAGGATTTTAAGAATAGACCATAAAAATTTTAAGAAAGGGGCATAAGAAAGGATTTTAAGAAAGGGGCATAAGAAAGGATTTTAAGAAAGGGGCATAAGAAAAGAATTTTAAGGAAGGGACATGAGAAAGGATTTTTAAGAAAGGGATGTAAGAAAGGATTTTTAAGAAAGGGACAGAAGAAAGGATTTTTAACCCCTTGACTGTCGCAACCCCCAATCCTGAGGTGTCTCCTGGTGTAGCAGTTTCAAAAAAAAAAAATGATTTTTTCTTATGAAATGGTAGAGAATCTTTTCCTGATTGTAATGATACAAAAACAAAAAAACGAAATTTGATGGAAAACTGATGGAATTACGCTCTCGTGAAGTTAGTGACCTCGGCGATATTTACAAATCGGCGATTTCACCCACTTTGAGCCCGATTTTCAGCTAATTCCATTGTTCCAGTCGACCAAACTTATAGCTATTTCTTTAAAACTCCGTTTTTTTCTATCGATTGAGTTCAAGAAACTGCCCATTTACTGATTTCAACTATCCAATAACGTGGTCAGAAATTTGCAATTTGGCCAATTTTACGAAAACTAAAAAATATGACAGTTTCAAAATAAGGTCCAGAATGAACAATGCAGACATTCCTGGCTCTAAAATAACATTTTCTTTGTTCATCAGTCATGTCTCCAGGCCCCTCTGATATTACTCTTGCTTTCTATTTTGAATTTTTATTCAAACAAAAAAATAGAAGATTTACTGTTATGCAGACTACTGCAATACTGTAATAATTGTACAAATAATGTCAACCCATTCATGACTGCATATCAGAATGGCTAGTTGGACATTTATTGGACAATGACATCATTTGTCATTGTCCCATTTAAGAAAGGGACATAAAGGATTTTAAGAAAAGGACAATGAATTTAAGAAAGGGACATAAAGAATTTAAGAAAAGGAAACAGATTTTTTTTTTTTTTTTTTTTTTTGAAGAGAAAGGAAAGAGCCTTTAAAGAAACAGGAAAGGAGGATTTAAAGGACAAAATTAAGGGTTTTAAGCAAGGGATATAAAAAAAATACAAGGGGCAAAGACATACAAT